CATAACTAGGACGGTCTATAATAGATAATTATATTATCGATATATTATATTACCACATGGTATGCGATATTGTTTATCAGGGGAGTTCTCATTATGATTCGGTTGAAATTTCTAGGAATTCTATAACATAACGAAATATATACTCCTTAAATGTTATTTAATTCGTTAGATTAATAGGTCTGCCGTCTGGACCGAGTTCAGTGCTACTGTAAACACACTGCTGTTACTTATAAAATAATTAATATGGTTCGATACGTCATGGAAATAAATTCATGTACGCATACTAGACTGAGTCCAGTTTTTGGATTATTAAATCTCGTTTTCTCGACCTCCATTTTTCTCCGTGATCCAGGTTGTTGTATGAAAACAATCTAAACAAATTGTAAATTTAGATGTTCATTACATGAACATTTTGCTTCCTCTTTACGATCAGCAAAAAAATTTGCTTCCTGGTGGAGAAAGCAAAATTTTATTGCCAAAATGTGAATTTTTGATTTTTTAACTTTCATTAATTCTTTAAATTTACTTCAAATGTATAAACTTTATATATATATCGATCGATTCGTCTTGACGTAAGGAATACAATTATTTCATATATAAACTTCAATTTAAAAAATCACAAAATTTTATAGCCAAAATGTGAATTTTTGATTTTTTAACTTTCATTAATTCTTTAAATTTACCTCAAATGTATGTTTTATATATATCGATGGATTCGTCTTGACGTAAGGAATACGATTTTATTATATATAACCTTAAATTTTTCTATTTAAAAATTTTTTCGATTAAAAAAAAATTTTTGGAAAAAAGACGATAAAATTTTTTTTGGGGGGTATTTTTCAAAATCCTTTGGTCAGATTTGAGATATTAATATGATAAATGAGCCTACCAAATTTTATCTAAATCCATTAAAACCTGTTAAAGTTATCTTCTAAACAAAAAAGGGATCCACACACACATACACACATACATACATCCGGACAATTGATCAGGATCTCATATAACATGTTTCTATAAAGAAAAAAATTTGTTTCCGCCACTTTGAAAAGTTTTATAAACGAAAGGACTACAAAGCTTCCTCCACGAGGAAGCAAAATAATCCGCAATAATTCGAAATCAGTGAAAATGAAAAGACAAATTTAAGATCTGTCCGTAATTTGCATAATAATCTGAACAAGATGGAGACAATTTGGTCTTCCTAAATCCGGATTGTTACACGTACTAACAACTAAGAATTAAATATTCCAAATATTGCAAGTAAATATTTACTAAATTTTCAGAAAAGTTTCGGTGCTGTGGGGATTTCATTTTCAAAAATTTATTAAATTACCATATCATTTAGGATCCCAATGGGAAACTGCCACGAGTAACCATTGGCGTATTATTTGGCCCAATGATGGAAGCCAATGAAAAAACCATTGGCACCCAATAATGGACCATTATTGGTAAAGTCATGGGCTGTCCACGCCGATGCCAATGATTGGCAACCAATAATTAGCCAATATTAAAAATTTTAATAATAATTTAAAAAATTAATAATTAAAAAAAAATTTATTTTTATTATTTTTTAATAGTTATTATTATTATTTTATTTTGAATAATTAAATTTAAAAAATGGTCATCAAAGTATTAGTGAAACCATTTCCTCCAAAAAAGAGTTTGTCTCAAATCCAATAAATAGGAGAGACATCGGGCAGAAAAAAATTTCGACAAGAAAAAATTTTTCGATCACTGCTTATATATTATCTAATGGCACCTCAACTGCAAGAAACAGTTATGATGTTCGCCCTCCCTGTGGCGTTGAGCGAACTAAAGTCCAGAACTGAGCCATCAGTGCAGCGCGGGAACATTTGAAAAATTTGATTTTATTAGATATTTTATTTTATAATTAACGAATTATTAAGTATGACATTATGTTATTTAATAATTATTTATGACATTAATTATTTATTAAGTTAATTATTTGTCATATTTAAAATAAAATATCTAATAACATCAAATTTTTCAAATGTTCCATTATTGGGTGCCATTATTGAAATTATATTGGCATCCCTGGCTCCCATTTTTGGGTCATTAATACGCCAATGGTATTTTTCCCATTGGGATATAACAATATATTCTCAATTTTTATAATATTGAAGAATAATAATGTGTCAATATTAAACGTTCTTTTTGTGCAATATGTGACCGTTTCAATTTGATAGATCTCGTTTTGACAAAGGACACTTCGGGAAATCATGACTTTTATGGGAATGAGAGAATTTTGAAAAAAGTGTCTGTCACTCGAGTTTGATAGTGGTTCAACCACAAAGCGAATAACAATAGTGATGGTGAATCCGCAAACGTTCTCTACAGACTAGTGGTGGTGGCCAACAGGATCAGTAGAGGAGGCGACAGAAGAGGCTTTATTGCTGCCAGTACGATATGACAGTCATCTCTGTAGCAAATTCTCGAATATGCAATATGCATACTATGGCCACAACTATAAGCATTCGCTATACATATATACGAGTCCATAAATTCATCTATATATACATTTGTATTTGTGAGAGGAAGTATTCCTTTGTCCCATTTAACCATGGTTGGTCCCCTCTAGTACATAGATAGCATATTATTTAAGGGAATGAGTTTTTACAATACATTTATATTCCTCTATTGATGAAAATTCAATAAAAAAAATACCAACTTGCATGATATTTTATTGCCATTGAAATTCCTGTTTTGAAATGTAATATTTAGTACATAACGAAGATAAAAATGAAATTGAAAGCTTCTCGCAATAAATATTTCTATTTAACTGGTACATTGATTTTTAATTTTATATGTCAATAGACTTGTCCAAAAATATCTACTCATAGCACATTCGGTTATGTTGCTCTGAGAGCGCCCTTACTCGGAGCAAGAGCAATTGGCAACTTTGCCACAGAGTGCTTTGCTTCAGAACGAAGCAATGTGTGACGTCATTAGCAGTGATCTGCCAACGATCTGCTCCATGGCAGAAAGGCAAATGACGTAATAAAATAAATTCTTTTTCAGAGCACTCTGCTTGCGAGCGACTGGAGTACTCCAAAGCAGATTTTTCAATTTAGCGCGAAGTAAAATTTTTTTTAAAATTTTATTTTTTGAAAAAATTATTAGGAACTAAATAAAAAAGCGCATATAAAAAATTGTCAATGAAAAATAATAATTATTATTATTATGAAAGACGTAATAATTTTGATTTTTCGAGAATTTCGAGTTTTATTAAAAAAATTATTGACTATTTAATAATAATAATTAAATTTTTATGTTAATTTTATTGATTTAATTTAATTTCTTTAAAATTAATACACAATAATAATTAATTAATTAGTTACTAATGTTAGTAATTAATAAAAAATTAATAACCTATTTACTTTTAGCTTATTCCAAAATGTTTCCTTTTTGATAGTAAAATAATTTCTTATAATATTAAAAAGATATAATTTAAAGAACTTTCCTTTTATCATAAAAGAAAATCCTCTTAAATATAAATATTAAAAGGAAAATTCGTTTACGATGAAAGGATTCGTTTAAAATTAAATAGATTGTCCTCTCAGTGTATATACATTTAAAAAAAATTTTTTTTCTCTTTTTCTGATAATAATAAAATTGAACAGCTTGAATAATAAAAGTGAAAAATAAATTTTCAGAACATATGTAACCAAAGGTTGTAGAGATTAGAAATAAGTCTGATTTGAGAAAAAAATTTAGTGTTTTATGGAGCTTTGAGTCTTTTAAATCGGTAAACAGGAAAAGGTTTTATTGGGAGGCCTGTTCTATCCCTTTTTGCAAAAAGTGAAATGTGGTCAAAAAGATGTTGGGAATTTCCACATACATACTATTTTCACAAATTTTCTCTCTTTTTTCTATCCCCACTTCATTTTCAAAAATTTTCCTTTTTTCAACACCCTTTTAACCATTTTAGTTTTGCTTAAGCAACGTTTAAGTGTACAGTGACAGAAAAGTGCTCTTAAAAATAATTTTCCATCATGTCAAAAAGTGAAAAAATAATTTTTAAAAGTTTTTTCCTTGACGAAAAAAATAAGGAAAGAGTGGAAACTGATGATGAAATTATGTGTAACGTAATAATAGACGGTATGTAATTATATTAAAATAAAAAAATTAATTCTTATTTATATGAATGAATGATATATGAATATTTATATGATTATTAATAACAACAATAATAATAATTATTATTATTAATACTATTATAAGTATTATTATTGTTATTATTTTTATAACATTAATAATAATGATAAAAGAATACTGATGATAATAATAACAATAATAATAATTACTATTCTTAATATTATTATTGTTATTATTCTTATATTATTATTATTGTAACATTAATAATAATAACAACAATAATAATTATTATTATTAATATTATGTGAATGTATATATAACAACAATAATTATTATTATTAATACTATTATAAGTATTATTATTATTACATTAATAATAATGATAAAAGAATACTGATGATAATAATAACAATAATAATAATTACTATTCTTAATATTATTATTGTTATTATTCTTATATTATTATTATTATTATTGTAACATTAATAATAATAACAACAATAATAATTATTATTATTAATATTATGTGAATGTATATATAACGTGAATTCAATCCAAAGAGATATACATGGAGAGAAATAATAAAAAAAAATATATAACGTGAATCCTTCTGTAAATATTTATTATTATTAATTATTTAAACATTTGTAAATAAAAATTATTATATACATTATATATTTGAAAGTTTTTAGAAAATAAATAAATAGCCGAAAACAGTATAATAAATGTTATTTATTTTTTACAATTTTTAGCTGAAATGTAAATAATAATTTTTTATTTATAAATATTATAATAAATGAATTAGAATGAATAAATATTTACAAAAAGGATTCAATTTAATTGGAACATAGAGTAAACTTATTGCTTTTATAGGACAACATTGCGTTATGAATTTATCTAAACGCATTTTGGAATCTTGTGGGATTTTGACGCAATTACCGCAAGACAATCTTTCACCAGAAATATTAGATAAATGTGAAAATGTTGAGGTAAGTACTATGAGTATCAAAATTACATTTTTATAATTGATATTTTATCAAAAAAAAATTCGTTTATTAAGTGTTTTATTTTAAACATTATATTTACAGCAGAACAATATCACGGAAAGTAATAGCAGCTCTCAATGTTTAAATGAATGGAGCCAAGTAAATACAGCTTTTCTTCTTGACAAATACGCAGAATATTTGCCAGAAGTTGGTCCGATGAAAAAATTCAAAACTAAAGTTCATCTTTTTAAACAAGTGGCACATGAATTAAACGAAAAATTTTCATCAGAATTTACAGGAATTCAATGTTGTTCCAGAATGAAAACAATTTTGAAGAGAAAAAATTTTGCAAACAAAAGCAACAAAACTTCTGGCAATACCAGAACAAAAATTGAATACCAAGAGGAATTGGCAAAAGTTGCTGCTATTGATGATAGTTACGACCCTGAAATAAAAATTGGCGTAGGGCGTATGGAAGTAACAGAGAAACCATGTCTGAGTAAGTATATATATATATATATATATATATATAAATTTTACATTTGCAACTTTTACTAATATATTTGTAATTGTTTTTTTTAGACATTTTAAAGAGCAGAAAAAGAAAACAGGTAGAAGACCAATTGCAGTGGAAAATTCACGAAGCCAAAATGGCAAAATTTCAAGAAATTATTGAAATGAAAGAAGCTGCAAAACAAAAAAGGCATGAGGAAAAAATGGCACTTTTAAAGCAACTATTCGAAGGAAGGAGTAACCATCAGCAAGCATCAGAAAATTGATTTTTTTATTCATTATAGTTATATTGAAAATTAAATTTCTATACATTTTTATTAAAAAATTATTTTTATATATTATGATAATGATAGTATATATATTGAAATACTATAAAGTAGTTTTTATATAATATATTTATTTCTTAAAATTTTATATAAACAATTTAAATGTATTATATAAACGTATAACGTAAAAAAATATACAAAATTTTTTACCTAATGTTTGAAAATTTGTAACACATTTCATCCCTTTTAATTTCTCCCAATGTTTTTTCGTGATTTTCATTAATATTTTCATTCGCATCAGGAGTATACTCATTATCATCATTGTCGCCTTCTATATAATCATCCCACTCATCTTCATTTAAAATACATAAATTATGTAATACGCAGCAAGCCATTATAAATTGGGACATTTTTTTGACAGTTAAAAAATCTAGTTTTTGTAATTGTCGGAATCGTACTTTTAATAACCCAAAAACATTTTCAATTTTTACTCTACTCTGCGACAATTTTTTATTAAAATGTTTTTGTTCCTGTGACATATTCCCGTAATCACGATAAGGCACTAACAACCATTTCCTTATCCCATATGCAGCATCGCCTATTAAATGCCACTTTTCACCACAAATTGCAACAATTTCATCATAAATAAAGGACATTTTAAAAAGAGTGGAGTCGTGAACTTTGCCAGATATTCCAGTGAAAACATCTATAAATTTTTTTTCTGCGTCACAAATTCCTTGTAAACTTAACGCCGTTTGATCATGTCGGTTGACGTAAGTACTTTTTACTTTGTCTGCTGGGGTTCTTATTGGGATGTAACTGCCATCTATGGCACCAATAATTCCAGGAAAACCTGCAATCTTAAAAAATAAAATTACTTAATAAATTAAACGTACATTTTTAGTTCCATTAATTGTCATATTCTAATACGCGAATAGTTTTTTAAAATAAATAATTAATTAATAATACTGATATACTTACTTCTTCAAACTTTTCGGCAACTGCTGTTTTTTCTTCTTCACTTCTTGGAAATTTAATTATTTGAGGTGCAATGTCAATTAAAAAATTCATAACATTATTTATTTTAGCATGGCATGTTGACTCTGCAACATCAAACCTTGCAGCAACATCTCGAATTACACATTTGTTTCCCGCAAACCTGCATATATTAAGAAAAATAATTAATTTTTTATAAACAACTACAAAAAAAACTAGCCTTACGTTTCTATATCTATACAGAGAAAATATTTATTATATACTTATGTACATAAAACTTACCACAAAAACTGCAAAATTTGTGACTCGGTTGAGGTACATGGTAAACCATGATTATTTGAACTAATAAAATTAGAGTTCTCATACATTTCCTGAAGTTTAAGAAACATCTCTCTTGATACTCTAAAATTTCTTTTAAACTGAAATTTATTATAATAAATGAGAACCCAAAAATAGCATAACTTATATATATTATATATATACCTGAGTGACACATAAATACTAACCTCTATATTATCATATTCTTCTAACACTATTCTGACATAACCTTTAATTTTAGGACAATCTCTTTTTTCTATAAGAAATTCATTCATAACTTCAAAAAATTCATTATCACTATCATCACTAGAACTTTCTAAAAGTTCAAAAGCTAAAGTCAAAGTTTCTGCTTCAATTTCCATTTTAAAATTCAAAATATGACATGCGCAGTAAGATATTTAAAAAATTATTGCTGTCGCTCCGTCGAAAAAGATGGAGCAAGATTTCTTGCTCTAGATTGACTCCGGGGTGGATTTATGTTACAAACCGAATACGTTTTTTGCCCTGTCGTGGAGCAGGATTTGTATCTCGAATACGCAAAATGCTCTGTGACGTAGCGGAGCGTGTTACACGAACACGTGTTCTGCCTGCTCTCGGAGCGGTGTTGTCAAGTCGAATACGCTACACGATATGCTCCGGGGCAGAGTTGCCAACCCGAACACATGGTTCTGAGTTGGAGCACTCTTGGAGCAGTTTAGAGCACATAACCGAATGTGCTATCAGGATATAAACTTTGGGAAACATTGTAAAATGATTATAATTTTTTTCAGTTAGTTAAAATGATTCTTTGGTTGTAGAAGATTTGTCGATTAGTTCTTAATTGGTAAAAAAATGACATCTGTATATTACAAAAAGACTATCTCTTTTAAAAATTATGATACTAATTCACATTAATTAAATCTTAAATTTATAGTAACAGATAATGTAATATTGAGAGAAAGAATATATAATTGAGGGAAGGAAGTGGAGATAAATAATACAATACGATAATGGTTATTATAATCCGAAATATGCAATGGGTTCATGCAAAATTCGTATTTGCATAGATTAACATCATGTGATTGTTAGGTCCACAATGTTAATTTTTTCGACCACTTTACTCGTAAAATACTCAATGGTTTGAGCTGGAAACTTACACTTTCATGCGTATCTTCCTTAAAAGAAACTTTGGTTTTTTAACTGGGAGTAATTATTTTTTTTGTAAATATAGTAAGTAAGTTTATTTATTTTTTGCTAATTCAAGGAACTATAAAATAGAATGATAGTACTATCTCTTTGACCATTTAAGTATATTTATATTGATGGTGTTTATTTTATTGTTTAAACTCTCAAAATCCAATTGGTGCGGTGCCATAATTCCGAGTGGCGCTTTAAATGTGATTTTCTCATTGAAGCTCTGTATAAAAATTGCATCGACTTTGACCTACCCTTAAGTTTAAATTACTCTAGTAAATTTAGTTGCTGTATATATATATATATATATATTTAAAAGCAATTTTGAATTTTTGCTTTAATATAGACATCTCAAGATAAGTATCCCAAATATGTAAAAAGAATTTTTCAGAAAACCTTGCTAAAGCTGTAAGAGATGAGGAAGAAAAACAAATATAAATATATGGATATATAAAATACAAGATTCGAGATCAGAGATTTCATCAAGCAGTCACGAACCCTAGGGTATAGGCACAGGTGGTGTCTGTGGTTCGAGATATCATTTACCTTTAGGCCTGGCATTTTAGTGGATTCACAAGGGAAATGGTGCACACCTGCATCTCGAAAATCGCGCAAGTAAAACTGTTCACATATGCATTTGTAACGGCCTCTGGACATTCGATATACTGCGGACTCTGAACACCTAGGGACTAATACTAGATGTGTCCAATGGTACAAGAGAGAAAAGAGAGAGAGTGAATGTGTACGTGGTTTTATCGATTCGTTAATTTGGAACGTTTCCCGTCGACAGAGCAGAATAATTTACCGTCGACGAGAGTTTCACTATACTGCTGCCATTCGATATAAATAATGACAGTTGAACTTTATGCCGTCTGTCGGCACAGACTTTATGTATGCATGTCTTTTAAATAAAAAGCAGTTCAACCTCGAGAATACAAGCAAGCTCGAGATACGTTTCAGTTTATTTACTGCACAACATTCGACATTAAACTTGTTGTTTTACGATCATTACATTCATCCTCTGACATGATTTATCTGCCAAGTTGTAAATGTGATAAGAAGAGATGTTTCTCCTCCCCCTTCACCTCGTCCTCCAGCACAAGAGTAAGAAGAAATGTAAACAATATCACTACACGATAAATCTATATTATGTATTTAAAAAATATTAATTTTAACTACAGTAAAATATTATTTATAATTTTATATTACCTAATAAATAAAAGAATAAATCTGTAATTAAAATGAGATTTTGAGTCTGTTGTATAAATTGTGACATTACTTTTTGTACACATTATCATGAACATCACAAATTACTAAATCAACTGTACCTTGTTTGTCTAATTGCTAGTCAACCAAAAGTGGAAGCTCGTTGGAGATGACACAAACTTTGCTGACAACGCCGGACGTTATTTGACTGATAGAATTTCTCTACTGTAAGTGGAATTCATTCAAATTTTAATCTTGTTGTAGCCAAATTTATGGTTTTTGTTAATAATTCATGGAGAATTGATTTCCAATGATGTTTCAAACTTCTTTTCAAAATTGGACGATACTGTTTGGCGTATCTGATATTGATGCATTCCCTATGATACGAATAGAGAACGTCTTTGCTACTTGTATACAAAATGGAAAGGTCAAAAACAAATGACTGTAAATTCAACAATTAAGTATGATAATACTTAATGATAATACTGTCGACTTCAACGTCGCCTTGGCGATGTATAAAGCTTAAAGCAGTTCCGCCAATGGAGTTAAAGTCTCAAAAAGGGTGTGATTTTTAGTGGGTCGGCCTGAACAAGGGCGGTCATCCCCACATAACCTGAGAGTACGAGCTCCAGGTATCTGACATGGAAGTAGGTCTCCAGGGTTATGCAGATTTTCCACTTCCTTCGTAAAATAAAAAAAAATTAAACGCAAGAACTCATGCGTTCCGTGTGAATCAGAAAATTGAGAATGCGTCCCAAAAGCCGACCAGTTCAGCAGTGATGTCTCAAATGGTAATAGTAAAGGACGGTGACATGTGTTCTGCTTGCAAATATTGTTGTATGAGGAGGTTTGCTTAAGAGTTTTTCATCATCAACCTCGCTGCTGCCAAAAGCAACCCGGTATAGCATGTGTCAATATACATCCAAAAGGCCAAACGAGTACAGCGGTGATGTCCTAAATGGTAAAGGATAGTTGCTTCGGCACATGTGCTGCTTGTGTCTTGACCTGGAGTAGTGTTCAGAGTTCTTCGGAATTTTCGCTACTCCCAGTTAGTCATGACATGTCGGTGGTGCATGCAGTCGTAAATAATCGGTAACCTGTCGCTGATATAGCCTCCGGTTCCCTGGATACTCGTACCTAAGTTTAATGGTACTACGGGAAGGCGCCTAGAGACCCATAGGTGTCCGCCAGGCGTTGGGCAAGGATTCGTGGTGGCAGTGGTTACAGCCTACATCGCTAAGCCTAGAGTCGTTCGTTCTCATCGGTGTTTGAAGTTGCACTAACTCAACTTGAGTGGCAAACCTGTAGAGTTACCAGGGATTGGAAAGGTTCCGTCTCTAACCAAAAGGGTCATTGTGACTTAAGCAGGTCGCATTGCTAATTGGATATACCTGTATAGGTAGGTCCTGTTCGTTAAATCTTAAAGGCGATGTCGATTTTATCAGGATTCCTATCAGACTAAAAACGGTATCATGGAGATTTAACTCAATCCGGATTGCTGGGTTTGACTCGTGGTTGTAGTATTTAATAACCCACATTACTAAGGGCTAGAGGCTGATGGGAGAGGGCGTTTTTCTTGGGTGTATAAGCGATATTGGAGTTGTTTCTCTTTCTAGGTTTCTACTCGGGCATAGGTTCTTCGACGCTTAAGTTGACCGAGCCTCGCGACTATGGGGTCCGTGTAGGTATACCTGTATAGGGAGGTCTCGCACGTTAAACTGGAAAGGCTATGTTGTCTCCAACACTCCTCGTCTCTGGATAATTAAGTGTTGGACCTCTGGCACTTAAAACTTAAAACGCGATGTCGACTTCAACAGTTATCATAATTAACCAAAAACTGGAACAAGTTGTATGATTATTCGTAACTAGCTGTAACTAGAGCCGACCGTAGGATTCTTTCAATCACTGGTGTCAGTCTCGTTCTTGGTTTAATAACTCGTAACTAAAATCCCTTTTAGTGCGCTCATCAGTCATCTACTCGAATATTTCAACAGCTAAAAGTATATCTAAATCTCAACTTCCATCGTGCTCATCCGTCGTGTCTGTCAGAAATTTTTCGATGTTGAAGGTTTGTTCGTAACAACAAAAAGAAAACGATATTTGTGTTTAATTATTTATCATTTCAGCCGTCAACTGATGTCGGAAATTCTCTTGAAATAATTTGATTAACGTGTTGGAAATGAGTTCCTGGAAATTCTCGTGCTCGTCCTTGGTTCTCGCATTCTCGTTGACTCATCTAATTTAACATTAGTTATGAATTTAAGTAGTTTCTGAATTTTGATACTCTCTCTTACCTTGGGAACTTTATTCCGTTCAACATGTTCAAGAATCGAGGGTCTCGCTACAGGTTAATCTGGCCATACGCTTAGTTCTAGAGTTTGTGTTAAGTAATTCTAATTTATTGTATGTGATATAATTTAACTGATTAAAGTAAATTTGGAAATCTTAAGTAAAATCTAATTTTCAGTTAAACTCAAGTTGTTACATGTTTTATAGAATTTATAATTGACAGAATATTATTAATTTATCTTATTTTTCTTGGTTTTCTTTTTGATTTAAATGTTGGCGATAGTAAGTTTAGTGTTTAATCTATCTATCTTTTAATATCTTTCTCACTCCACGACCTGCACAACTTAGTGACACCAACTCGTACAAAGTATATATTGTATAGATTAAAACGCTCTTTTCTATTCGATCTCAGTTAAGTCTATTAGATATGGTGGATAAAAATACGTAAATAAATTTCAATACTTTATTTGAATTTATAATATATTTTACAACTATTGTCATTATTATTCGTTTTCACATAGACTATATTATTAGTAATTCATTTAATATTCTAAATATAACATTATATTTAGATTTACACAAATCCAAAACACAAAACTATTGATAATGGCGTTAAGTAAAAATAAATGTTGAACTAAAGTGACTATTAAATAAAAAAATTATAATTAAATATCTAATTAAAAAACTATTAAAATAAATTATATATTTATAGTAGATTAATTATTGCCAAAATAAATAAATTCAACATGATTAATTGTAATGATTTGTTTTGTAAGACTCCATGTTTACATAAATCTCGTTATTATTGAATTTAATTGAAAAGATTTAATTTATAGAAATATTATTATTCAGCAAGATGTAACTTCTATAAGTGTAGAAGTTATATAAGCAACGCAGTAATTATATAATTAAATGTTCACGTAACTTATGTCTTTAACAATTAACGTAATTATGCAAACTTGGATAAATTGATTAGTTAACGTATCCTCAGATATCAATGGCGTAGTAACTAAAAGAAGAATTAAATTTCTACAAAAAGAAAAAATATAAATTTTGTATTTTGAATAAAATTTATATAAAATAAAACTTAAATAGATCAAATTATAAAACTTTTATTAAAGTGAATAAAAGATGGACGTATGTAATTATTCTCAAAAAATATTTGAAAATTTTTAAATATTTTCTCTTTATATAATTAATTTTTTTCTTACGCCTCTGTTTTTTTACATTTTCATATTTTTTTAAAAATCGATGAAAATTACAATTTTCGGTCGATTTTCAATGTCATCAATTTTAATCTTGATAATTTATTCAAGATTCACGTTAATGATAGAATGGCAAACATTTTATATAAAAGTTAGCTTATTGCAAATAGTTATTAGTTTCTGTTAAATCTTTGGAAATAAAACAGGTATGTAGAAAAAGCAAAGAGCTTGCTTTTGACGTTTACTTATAATATTAATTAATTAAATTTATAAGGAATTCAAAAATTCAAAATAGGGAGAAATCCTTTTAAAATTAATAAATTTAATTTTAGTTTTCAGAATAAACTAAACCATGGGCAAGATTGCAGTTTGCGTGACACTCGCTGTGATGTGCCTTACCCTTATTTCTGCAGAATTGGTAAGATAATTAAAAATTTTTTTTTTAAATATAGAGCCAGACGAATAACTATAAATGATTATCTTCTTATTATGAGTCGAAATTTCTAACCTGGTCCACTCAAAATCAATTTAATTATTTTTACGAATTCTTTTACATAATTTTGAAAAAAAATAAAATGAAAATATTTCTAAATAAGTGTAATAAATTTTCAATTAGTTCTAAACTGTTGAAGCCTCAAGCAACTTTTTAATTAATTTTCTAATATAATACTCTATTTTTACTTGATAAAAGTAAATGATATTTAGTATACACGTTGAAAAATACTACCGCTATTAATGACTGTGGAAATTTAAAAAAATTGATATTCTTTATGCAAAACACATTGTTTATTTAACAAACAAACTTTTTTATAACTTTTTGTATAAGTAGAAGAGAAAGTAATTTGTATTCTCTAAAGATAAATTTAATTACATTTCTTATATCTTTATTATATTACTATTTAAGAATATTCTTATTCGAAATTTATGACTGTATATTTTTACCGTGATCTGCTTTGTATACCAATATACCTGCTTTAGCTTGTTATGTTCGTTAGTTGAATTTCCGACTTCTTAATACTCGATTAATCTAAGAATTCAGATTTTCATTGTCAATGCAAAATTACACTGTCTCGAGATTTGGTGCAGATTCCTGTATGCAATCGACTAGTGATAAATTGAATTAATCGACTAATGATCATCTTCTGGTTAAGATAAAAAATAACTCAATTGAAATTGTATGAAATTTTGAAAACTGTATAAATCGTGCAATAGAAATTGTGCGAAATAAATTACATATTGTTATTTTGTGGTTTTAGGACAGAGAGCTTACACCCCCACGTCCAGAGCCTGAAACTGATGAAGTTAAACCAGCAGTCGTTTTATTAAGAGCAGTTCGTGCTCTTCAGGAAGCAGCAGAGAAAATTGATGAAGAATATGCAGTTCCAGTTGCTAAAGCAAGAGCTTTACGGTCCATTCCAGTTGCTCCTGCAGAATCCAAGGTTCAATATGCTAATTTAAGAGCTATACGATCTGTTTTAGCTGATGCTCCAGCAAGAGTTGGAGCTGCTCCAATTGCTCTAGCAAGAGCTGTTCGTTCGATTCCGCTTGCAGCTCCTGTAAAAGTTGCAGAAGCTGTTTTGGCAGCTGCTCCAATTGCTCCAGCAAGAGCTGTACGTTCAGTTCCAATTATTTCTGATGTAATTCCAGCAATAGCTCCAGCAGTAGCCGAAGCTCCACTTGCTCTAGCAAGAGCTGTACGTTCAGTTCCAATTATTCCTGATGTAATTCCAGCAATAGCTCCAGCAGTAGCCGAAGCCCCACTTGCTCTAGCAAGAGCTGTACGTTCAGTTCCAATTATTTCTGATGTAATTCCAGCAATAGCTCCAGCAGTAGCCGAAGCTCCACTTGCTCTAGCAAGAGCTGTACGTTCAGTTCCAATTATTCCTGATGTAATTCCAGCAATAGCTCCAGCAATAGCCGAAGCTCCACTTGCTCTAGCAAGAGCTGTACGTTCAGCTCCAATTATTTCTGATGTAATTCCAGCAATAGCTCCAGCAGTAGCCGAAGCTCCAATTGCCCCAGCAAGAGCTGTGCGATCTGTTTACGCAGATGGTCCTACATGGCCGGAGCGCCTCTAAAAAATGCAGAATCTATTTTGGCAGCTGCTCTAATTGTTCCAGCAAGAGCTGTACATTCAATACCTTCTGCAGATGTCGCAGCTCCAATTGCTCCAATTAGAATTATTGTTTAAACAAGCTGTCTTTAATTTAAAATGTTATATGTTAAAAAAACTTCTATAAATCGAAGAAATTTATTCTACTTTTTTTAAATTAAACTATTTTTTCCTGCATGATTTGATAATAAAGAAAATTTTTATACAAATATAAGTGTTTTATATGCCCCTTCTAGTTACTTGTAAAATAAATAAAATCAGCAAAAAAACATCTAAAAAGCTGTACGTTTCTAGATATAACAGGAACTCCTTAACTTAAAAAATTAATATGAAATTGTAATGAACCCTTCTACATTCATTAATTAACAAAAAGTTCATTGAACTTAGATAAAGTTTACTTTAAATTTTTCTCTAAATCATTGCAACACAACCAACTCTGTTGCAATGTTTTAGGAATGGGCCCTTGCTCAGGAAATTCGCTGAATGCGAATGAATACTACTATTTCAACATCCAAGCAAAGGAGTAAATACTAACATTGACATTATATAAAAATCGCAAAAAGTACTATATATACAAAGCTATATATGAGGCAAAATTCCTGAAATGTCCGAACAAAAAATTGAAAGTTCTCGAATTTAATCCATACTTTTCTAAAGTGTTGTTATTGTTGGTGAAAGTCTAAAAATCAATTATTATTGAATTTAATAAAATAGTTTTTGAATTACAACGTTTTTAATTTTTGACTTTTGAAAAAAAAAATTTTTTGCAATGTACAATATTTATAAGTAGAATGCATAAAAGTTAACATATATATAATGATTTTTAAAGCTTTTTTGACGAGCTACACGCTGTTAATAAAATTTTTTTTTTTTAAATAACATTTGACCTTGAAATTCAAGGTCAAATTGTTAATTTACGTTTATCTCAAAATCGGATTTTTTAAAATTATTTTTAACTATCTCAATGGAAAGCTTGACTAATTTCCTACAAAACATGTAATTTTCAGAGTGGGATCTTTTAAAGTTTTTGAGATATTAATTAATTAATTAATTAATGTTTATAACAAATGAAATATTTTACAAACGAATAAAGTTACCGTAATTCTGAAGTTAGTAATTGAAAGTTAACGTAATTCCGCATCCAACGAGCCCTATATGAAGTATTTTGAATAAGTAGATTGTTAATAAACAATTAGTTAACATTGCAATTGTTTATTAACAATATACTTATCCAAAATACTTCATATAGGGCTCGTTGGATGCGGAATTAGCTTAACTTTCAATTGGTTAATTTAGATTTACGATAACTTTATTTGTTTGTAAGATATTTTATTTTTTATTGTTATTTAACTAAAATTGAACAAAAATACTTCATATAGGGCTTTTGGATGCTTGTTGTTAGTAAAAAATAAAATATCTTACAAACAAATAAAGTTATCGTAAATCTAAATTAACCAATTGAAAGTTAAGCTAATTCCGCATCCAACGAGCCCTATATGAAGTATTTTAGATAAGTATATTGTTAATAAACAATTGCAATGTTAACTAATTGTTTATTAACAATCTACTTATTCAAAATACTTCATATAGGGCTCGTTGGATGCGGAATTACGTTAACTTTCAATTACTAACTTCAGAATTACGGTAACTTTATTCGTTTGTAAAATATTTCATTTGTTATAAACATTAATTAATTAATTAATTAATATCTCAAAAACTTTAAAAGATCCCACTCTGAAAATTACATGTTTTGTAGGAAATTAGTCAAGCTTTCCATTGAGATAGTTAAAAATAATTTAAAAAAATCCGATTTTGAGATAAACGTAAATTAACAATTTGACCTTGAATTTCAAGGTCAAATGTTATTTAAAAAAAAAATTTTATTAACAGCGTGTAGCTCGTCAAAAAACCTTTAAAAATCATTATATATATGTTAACTTTTATGCATTCTACTTATAAATATTGTACATTGCAAAAAATTTTTTTTTTCAAAAGTCAAAAATTAAAAACGTTGTAATTCAAAAACTATTTTATTAAATTCAATAATAATTGATTTTTAGACTTTCACCAACAATAACAACACTTTAGAATAGTATGGATTAAATTCGAGAACTTTCAATTTTTTGTTCGGACATTTCAGGAATTTTGCCTCATATAGTAACCCAATTATTATTATTCTTATTAAAAGGGGAAATAAAAATTGTTATTATATAGATTCAAAATGGTAATATATTCTACGAATTATGATTGTTACTATATTAAATTCAAAAAAAAGGGAAGAATGTGAATACCATTATTATTATCAAATGAAATGATTGTCAAATTTAATCAAGGACTAATAATTAATTTAGCTCTACGCCTGTGAGATTCACAATATTGCGAAATAATTCGCTGAATAAGAGAAAAAAGAAAAAAAGGGGAAAAACTCACTTACTAAAATCCATTTTAAAATTATGGACATAGGTTAATTTCCATTCCTAATATTCCATAGAAATTTTTCCAAAATTATTATCGCAAAAATTGCAATATTAAATAAAAAATAAAAAGGCTGATTATTTCTACAATTTCAAAACAGAAAAAGGAATGTACCTTTTTCCAAAAGAAATTCCAAAAAGGATTTTCCAATAAAAAATAGGGAAAGAACCTAATTATTAAAACGGTCTCTTTTTTTTAAAAAAAAGATATATATTCTACAAAAATAAAAGGAGAAATAAGTTCAATGCCTTTAACAAATTGCAAGCTTGCATTTGTTTAATAAGTTGAACGACTTGTTGCGAAACTATAGACCCTTATTGCACCACAATTCCCCACCTGTGACAATTAACCAGTGTCCATAAAAACCAAATGAAACACATCAAAAATTGCAGTCTTCTAGTGTTTCAAACAGATTAACGTCGCGAGTTATTATTTCACGAATTAAAACTTGTGATCACGAATATTTGCTTAAACGGGACTGTCCGTCTCGACTTACAATTTGATAAATATAACTAAAGTTTCGATTATTTTCTTTAAAACGGCAACAAACGGCAAGTAGTAAAGATAAAAATAATAATGGAGTGAATTATTCACAAGCGTAGAGTTATTGTTTATTTTCTTGTATTAAAACCGCGAAAATTAATTAATTAGTTATTAAATTTTTCAATTGGTTCAGGACGTTAAAGACAATAAAAAAAAGAACACAAATTATTATTATATTTCGGTTGATTGGGAATCATTCCATACAATAATAATGATGCAATAATTTTAATCTACTTCACCGAGAGTGAAAAAACAACACTTTATATTTGTCGCCCGCTTCTATTCAGAGATTGGAGCGGTAGAATTCCTATAAGAGAAATATGTATAAGAATTTATAATATTTGTATCGTTCCAACCAGTGTATATTATTAATTCATTTTTCACTTCATTGAAAAAAATTGTTGTGTATCATTCTCATCCTTAAAATAAAGAAAACAGATGTAAAAGAATTGAACAAATTTAATTAATCGTATTTACACCATAACTCGGCTACCTAATTCTTTGTAATTCGATCTTTTAAATTCGCTATTTGAACCGGAGAGATTTAAATTTTAGCAATAATGACACAAGTAAATTTTTAAAAATCAAAAATTAAATAAATCTAATTTTCAAAACGCAACAAAATATACAAAATTTCTATAATATTTATAAAAATTAAAGTTTCCTTCAAAAAAATAAAAAACTACTCAACTTTCTCGATGTCTCCCCACTGATTATTCATTTTAGTGACAAAATATGTCAGAAAAACATTATTCGAGTAAGAAATATAAAAATTAAAAAAAGTCCTTTTTCTGCAATATATTACTATATTTTGCTTCAATTAAAACTTGAACATAACCTGATTAAATACGCTCAGAGTTTGATTGAACTAATACGTCATCGTTTTACTTAATTTGTCATCTCATGTTTTTTTTTCATTTTCATAAATAGAAAATAATAAACTATCTGAAGGGGAGAAAAAAGTGAATCAGCAAATAATTTTTAATTAAAAAAAAACTTTAAAAGTCCTTCTTTAATCTATCTTTTTGTGAATAAAAAAGAAAAAGTTCAAATTAATGTATATCTATTAGATTTACTTAGTTAAAAAACAAGAAAATCCGGAACGAAAAAAAAACAATATCAGAGGCTATAAATTACATCACTTCTCTTCTTGTACATAATAATTTGTGATTACAGAAAAAGTACGGGATCATTTTCTTGTATTTCTTCATTAGCTACGTTCGTGAGAGTAAGGTAATTAATTGAGTAGCTCACTCAGTGCACTTACCCTGGGGCAAACAAAAGACACGAGAAAACGTTGAGCTACTCTCCAGCTGTCTGGTGCTTTTACAAATCCTTTATTTCAAAAAATCTCATTCCCCAGCTCAATGTGATATCTTTTTTTTTACACGGGAAAGAATTTTCAGTGAACAATTTAAAATAAAAATTGTACAAAATGGTAAATTATGTATATAACAAAGATTTATGAAAATTATTCTATCAATAAAAGGTAATTAATTATTTTAATTTAACAATCAATTATAGAAATATATATTTGTGTTTGTAAGAAGAAAGGTTTGCTGCACAAACATAAATTTGTTGACAACAGTGCTTTCTGGCTATTTATTTGTTAAAAAAAGTAAAAAAAAAATATAGTTGTCCCAAAGGAATCTTTGTAGAATTTATTTTATTTTGAAACAAGAATGTGTACACACAAGGTGTGTATGATATATAAAAGTAATTTGTTAAAATAATTATTATAAACAACATATGGAAATTGAAAGAAAATCCATTATATTTGCTTTAAAAGTATTTTTCTGAAATACTCAAAAAGGAAGAAACAAAAAAATTAGAATTTTCTTCAAACTTGCTTGAGAGGAATATATCAGGATCAAAGGAAAAGAGGTGTTGAAATTCGACGTGTATTGAAGTTAAAGGCTGAATGGCAGCAAAAGATTTGGAAGAAAAGAGGTGAGTTTGCTCGAGGGTCTCTCTCTTTTTTTTGTCAGCAGAACAAGATACTATTGATCCCCGACCCTTTTTCTCTGCAGATTTTCCAAGAGGTACGAGTGAGTTCAGCGTATAAGTATCTCTGGTCTGTGTGTCGTCTGCTTGCTAAAAATCGTCCTATCCTATATAGATATGTAAGATGGTGCAAAAAACGACCTAAAGAAAAGGCCAAAAGGCGTCGAGAGCACTGTTCTTTTTGCCAACTTG